AAATTCTTCTGCGTCTTCCAATTCCTTTCGATACAGTGACTCAGTATACTCCTTCCATCTTCTTTTAATACTTCCTGGATCATTTAACATTCTGCCGAAAGCATCGTTGATTATAGCAACTCGAGGTTTGAATTTGTTCTTCATTTCCTTGAGCTTAAGATATGCCGAGTGAGTTCGGCCCTTTTGATTTTCTGACTCCAACTCCTTGCACATTTTAATTTTTTTTAAAAACATTTTAAAGTTTTTTAAAGTTTACACTTGATATAAACTTTAAAATGTTTTAAAAAAATTAAAAGATCAGCAGTTCAAATCTTCCAGCCACTTTGCTTGAGAAAGATTGGCAGTCTTCTCAGGTAAAGTTTTAGAATAAATATATATTTATGTTTACACACAAATACTCTGTTCCACTTGCTTTGTGGCTACATAAATCATAAATATTTATAACCTGTGGATGTTAAAGTTGTATCTAGTGTTACAATTTCCAGTAATGCCATGGTGAATGCAAATATATTTTTTCCCACATCTGTAAATGTATGTAAGTTAATTTTGTAGAACTACTAGATCAAAATAAATGTACTTTGTGGTTTTGATTGCAGTTTGTAAATTGAGCTCCTAGGAGCTCCTTAGAGATCCAGCTTGTCATCAAATATGAAAACATACCTTTCCCCTTATCTGCACCCCAGTATCAAGTGTCATAATTAGGTTCATCTGGCAGATTTTTAAAATGATGTGTCATTCTAGTTTTGCTTGTTTATCTTTACATGTTATTTTGTATTGTGATGTATTCATAGCTTTTGTGTACTTTTTATTGGGTATTGGTCATTTTCTTACTTGGTGTGTAGAAACTTTTATAAGGTTTACTACAGCCAATTACTGTGTTATAAATTGACATTTTATATTTTATGTGAGACTATGGTTAATTAACACATCCTTTCCTTTATTGGAACCCTGAAAGATTTTCACCTCTGCTGAAATGAATAATATTGTTTTAACTTTCATAGTTAATTCAGGTGTTTGTTTTGGCATAGAGTGGGAGTTTGCGCCAACAATTATATGATGACCCAGTTTAACAGATTACAGAGAAATAAAATTCAAATTTTTTTTTAAAAATCTCATTTATTTTTGACGTCTTAGCTAAACCATTGGATTTGTAATATTTATAACTTCTTTGTGTTTTTATGCAGCAAGATTACCTCATGTTGGCTGCTTTGGATGAAAATGAAGAATTGGTGGATGGAGGCAAAAAAGGAGCAATTGATGATCTTCAACAAGGTGAACTGGAAGCATTTATTAAAAATCTTAATTTGACCAAGTTTGCAAAAACGGTCTTCATTGAAGAAGATGACGAGCCAGCTAAAAAAGAAAATGCCAGCAAAAAAGAAACAAAGTCATCTAAAGTAAATAATAAAGAGCAAAATGCAGCAGAAAATGAAAAGACATCTGTCAGCAATATCAAGAATAAGAAGAGACCGGAACACCTTGATGGAAACAACAGCGCCATCCCAAAAATAAACAAAGACAAGCAACAGGATATCTTTGAGTTTTCTGAGAGACCGACATTATTAATCAAGCCTGGTGGAAAATGGTATGATCAAGAGTATAGCAATGAATATTCTTTGGAACCCCAGCCCCGGGATGTCGTATCAAAATATAAAACCTTGGCTCAAAAGTTGTATGAGCACGAAATCAACTTATTCACCAGTAAGACCAGTAATCAAAAGGGAGGCTCTTCTACCTGGATGAAGGCAATAGTGTCGTCGGGGACACTAGGTGACAGGATGGCTGCCATGATTCTTCTTATACAGGATGATGCTGTTCATACACTCCAGTTTGTAGAAAGTCTCTTGAACCTCGTTAAAAAGAAGGGCAGCAAACAGCAGTGCCTCATGGCTTTGGATACTTTCAAAGAATTACTCATTACAGACCTTTTGCCAGATAGTCGAAAGCTACGAATTTTCAGCCAGCATCCTTTCAACAAAATAGAAGAGTTGTCCAGTGGCAATAAAGACTCGAGAGATAGAAGACTGATACTGTGGTATTTCGAACACCAGCTGAAACACTTAGTAGCTGAATTTGTGCACACCTTGGAATCTTTGAATCATGATTCATTAATAACCACAAAAACTCGAGCTCTTACAGTGGCACATGAGCTGCTTTGTAACAAACCCGAAGAAGAAAAGGCTCTTCTTGTGCAGGTGGTAAATAAACTGGGCGATCCTCAGAACAGAATAGCCACAAAAGCCTCCCATCTCTTAGAAATATTACTTTCTAAACATCCCAATATGAAAGGAATTGTGTGTGGTGAAGTAGAAAGGCTACTTTTTCGCTCAAATATCAGCCCCAAGGCTCAGTACTATGCAATTTGCTTTTTAAATCAAATGACTCTCTCTCATGAACAAAGTGAATTGGCCAACAAATTAATAACTCTTTATTTTTGTTTTTTTCGGACTTGTGTCAAGAAAAAAGATATTGAATCAAAAATGCTCAGTGCACTTTTGACAGGAGTAAATAGGGCATACCCTTATTCCCAGACTGGTGATGAAAAAGTGAAGGAGCAGCTGGATACACTTTTTAAAGTGTTGCATATGGTCAATTTCAATACCAGTGTACAGGCTTTAATGTTGTTGTTCCAAGTTATGAATTCTCAACAGACAATATCAGATCGCTACTATGCAGCTTTGTACAGGTGAGTACATTCTTTTCTGGTATGTGAATGTGAGGAATAACTTGATCTAGTTGTAGCACTTGGAGTCCCTGGTCATTTAACATACTCAGAGACCAACTGAAAGGTTAGATGTTCTAGTCCAGATAGATAAGTCTTTAGAAGAAAAGGCTGGTGATTGATCTACTTCTGAAATACCCATCAGAAATCTTGTGGGCCATATAGTTCTTTCTACTCTGATACACATGAACTAAGAGTTGACTTGACAGCTGGTTAGTATAGCACATACAGTGTCTGTGTAAAGAGAAAGCTGAACTTTATCCTCCCCTTACTTTGTCTTTCTGTTGGGTACAAACTATTTGTAAGATACTTTGATAGCATTGTTGTTTTGTGTATATTTGTGTCCACGAGAGAGAGATTGGTTGTTTGTGTACAGAAAGATAGATAAGCATAACCAGCATCCATGTCTTACTGTTAGATGTCATTGAGTTGGTTCCAATTGATAGGACCGTGTGCACAACAGACTAAAACGTGGCCTGGTCCTGTGCCAGCCTCCCCCATTACTATGACATCCACTGACCATCAATCCATCTTGATGACGGTCTGTCTTTTTCTCTGTCCCTCTATAAAGTCTCTCAAGACTCTTGATAATTTGCTAACACTAGCAAGCATTCTGAATGCACTTCTTAAAAGGCAAATTTCTTTTTTCTTTTGGTAGTCCATGGTATATTCAGTATTCTTTGCCAGCACCACAATTCGAAGACATCAGTAATTCTTGGTTTTCCTTTTTCATTGTCAAGCTTTTTGCTGGCATATGAAGTAGTTAGAAATACCAGCACTTGAGTCAAGTACAAAATGACGTCTTTGTTCTTTTAAACTTTTAAGAGGTCCTTGGGAGCAGATTTTCCCAATGCAATACATCTTTTGATTTCTTGATTGCTGTTTCTGTGTAAAAATTCTGATTCCATGTAAAATAAAATCCTTGACAACTTCAGTTTTTTCTCCATTTATCATGATGTTGCATATTGATTGAGTTGTGAGGATTTTTGTTTTCTTTTATGTTGAAGTGTAATTGACACTGTAGTGTTTTGGTTTTTTTTTTCCCCATCAGCTTTTCAGGTCCTCTTTGTTTTTAGCCAGCTAGGCTATGTTATCGTGTATATCAAAGGTTATTAATGAGTCTTCCTGCAACGCTAGTACTTTATTCTTCATGTTTTTGTCTTGCTACTTAATACTTATAAGTTAACATTTGCTATATGAGTTTGAAAGGAACACTTGTTAGGTTATGTTATTGTTAGAGAACAACTCATAATGACCTTAGGAACAACAGATCTGAACCCTGTCTTGTCCTGTCCCATTTTCACACTTCGGACACACTGTAACCATTGCAGCAGTCACTGCAGCAGTCCACCTGGTTAAGAGTCTTCCTCTTCTTCTCTGACCCTCCACCTTCCAAGAAACATGTCCTTTTCCATGAAATAGCCCTTCCTAACAACATGCCCAAAGTATGTGAGGTGAAGCTCCAAAGAACACTCCAACTGCACCCTCTCCAAGACATATTTGTTTGTTCTTTTGGCAGTCCATGGGATGAATGTTCAGTGTTCTTCTCCAGGACCACAGCTCAGCGGCATTAATTCTTCTGTCATTGCTCTTCATTGTCCAGCTCTCAGATGCATAGCGAGTGATCAGAAAGACCATGGCCTTAATCAGGTGCACCTTAGTCCTAAAACTAGCATTACTCCTCAATTTGGAGAGGTCCCTAACTGCAGGTTTTCCAAGTGCAATGTGTCTCCTTATCTCTTGACTTCTGATACTAAGGTGTTAATTGTGGATCCAAGTAAGATGAAGTTACTGACAATTTCCATCTCTTCTCCAGCCATCATGATATTGCCTATCAGTCCAGTGGTAAGAATCTGTTTTCTTGACAGTGAGATGCAATCCATATCGAAGGCTGCATTTTTTGATCTTCTGCAACTCAAGTTCTCCTCACTTTCAGCAAGCACAGTTGTGTCATCTGCATAATGCAGGTATTTTTTAAAATGCAATTTTTATTTTCTATAACGCTGGTTATTGATGAGTCTCCCTCCAATCCTGACACCACATTCCTCTTCCTAGAGCCCAGCTCTTTGCAAAGCCAGGCTCTGTGAAGAAGAATGTAGCATCAGGATTGGAGGAAGATTCATCAGTGCTGTGTTACGGAGATGACACACTTTGCTTACTAAAAGTGAGGAGGATATGAAACGCTGCAGAAGATCAAAGACTGCAGCCTTCGGTATGGATTACATCCCAACATAAAGAAAAAAGATCCTCACCACAGAACCAACAGTCAACACAATGATAGATGGAGAAAGGGTTAAGCTGTCAGTGATTTCAAATTGCTTGGATCAACAGTCAAAACCTGGGAACCAACAGACAGGAAATCAGGAGACATATTACATTGGGCGAGTTCACTGTCAGGAACCTCTCCAAAATGCTGAAGAACAATAATGTCAGTGTGAAGACTGAAGTGTGTGTATTTTCAGGCCATGATTTTCTTGATCACCTGCTACACATCAGAAAGCTGGACAGTGAATAATTGATGCCTTTGGGTTGTGGTACTGGAGAAGAGTACTGAGTATCCATGGACTGTCAAAAGAGCAAACAGATGTGTTTTGGAAAAGGTGCAGACAGAGTTCACATTGGAAGTGAAGCTTCATCTTTGTACTTTGGACGTTTGATTAGGTGATGCTTTTTCTTAGAAAGGGACATCATGCTTGGAAAAGTGGAGGGTCGGGAAAGGAAAGGAAGAAGACTCCTAACAAGATGAATTGACACAGTGACAATTGACAATTTTAGCATTGGGCTGAAATTGTGTCAAAATTGTGAAAAGGTTTCAGAAATTATGATGATAAGGGCACAGATAAAACAGGGTTCGTCAGCTCTTCATAGAGTGGCTGTGAGTTGTATTCAGCTCAACCACACCTAACAGTAATACAAGTTTTAAAGGCACCCTGGTGGCATCGTGGATAGTGTATTGGGCTGCTAACTGAAGAATGGTGTTGATTGGAATCCATCAGCCTGTCTACAGGAATATGTAGGCAGTTACTTCTCATAAGGATTTAAACATGTTGGAAGATCGAATTGACTCAAGGCAGTGGTTTATATATATCATAGATCTTTTGTGATATTCAAGAAATGAAACTATATAATTGAAGTTGACTTTTCTTCCTTATTTTTTAGTCTCATATCTTTCTGTCCTCTACATAATCACTTGGTCATTGAACAAACTTTTTTGGGGGTGTTTTACTATATACCTCTATTTACCAGGTGCTCACAGTACAGCGCAGTTAACAAAAGGTCCTCTTCTAGCGGTAGTACAGTCTAATCAGGAATAGTAACAAAAAGCAAAATAAAAAGTACTGTAGACAGAAATGCTAGAAATACAATTTTTTTATATTCTTCTAGAATTTAAGAGTTTAGATTCCAATTTTGTTTCCAGAATTTAGCAACTTGTTGTCATTCACTTCTTGCCAAGTGACATTTTGAACAGTAGATGGTTTGGAATCCAGCAAGTTATGTTCAAGAATTTAATATGCTTCCTCCTAATTTAATTTTGGAAGACACTGCACTACATTTCCAAAGGCATGCAGTTCAAATCCACCAGATGCTCCACATGAGAAGGAGGGACAGTCACCTCACATGTGATTTACTCCTTCTGAACACTCGCCAGAGGGTCAGTTAAGGGTTGATTCCAACTCAAAGACACACAGCAATCCATTTTTTTGTTGTTGGAGTTTTTTGCGTTTTTTTAAAATTACTATTAACAAAATTCATGTACATTGTGTTTCACACACAGCTTCATTCACATTATGTTTCATACAAACATTCCCATGCATTATGTTTTCTAAAATTAATCACCATTGGACTATGACCATCATTACCCTGTCCTTTCAGGTCTCTGACAGATCTTTTTCATTCTCTTTATCCCCTCCCTCCACCCACCAAATTGTGCAACCATGTGAAGTTGACATCTTTTGAAACTGTCTTCCTTTAGCTAAGATCCAGCTGACATCGCCAATGATGCCCCTTGATGCCCCTGTTTCATGGCATGGCTTGGATTTCTGGAACTTCTCCATCGTTGTATTGTTCTAGATATTTTCTAATAATATTTAGCAAGGGGGTGGGGTGTGATTTTACAAACATTATTTCACAGATTCTTCGTTCTGTTTTTGTTTTTGTTTTTTTGTTTTGGTTTTTTTTCTTTTTTTGCTTGGCCACAAATATGGATCTCTTCTTGCTGATTGGCTGCCCAGGCATCATCTTCTAAGTTTCATAGCATAGATGAATGAGCACGTCCAAGTTTGCATCTGTTTATTGAAATACCTCAATTATTATTGCAATTATCTAGTTTTGTAATTCTATATATATTTATGTTGTGAAAACAATGTAGAAGTTATGGTATTGAGCTCAGCCACAAGCCACACTTTACTGGTTTATGTTCCAACCATTAGTTTGCATACAGACTAATCATTACTAACGTTCTTTTGTTAGACATCTTTGGTCTCTTGTTCTCTCATTCATTGCTTTCCAGTCGGAACTGATACACAGCTGACCCTCCATCGAGTTTCTGAGGCACTCAGTTGCACAGGAGATTGCCCATATTTCTTCACAGACCGCTAGTGGATTGGAACTGTCAGAGAGCATAGCCTTTAGATTTAGAGTCACAGCTCCCTATAGACTGTACCATCAGTTGATACTGTTTTTCTTTCCGTCATTGTGTCCATAAAATAGAGAAAAGCTCCTATGCCTGAGGATTGTTGTGAAAGAATATGAAGCCTTCCCAGAGTTTTACTTTGAATAGTGACAGACTAGAGACTTAAATAACTCATTAATTTCCATATCCATTCATGTAATCTTTGTATTTATGTTAAGTGCTAAACAGTGCTTAGCATGTCGTGAGGGCTGTTTAAGTGTGGTTGCTGTTCTGTTAGTATGGCATGCATTTTGTTGTTTAATCCTCTAACAAGCTTCCCGGTTTGTGTGGT